TTTGTTGTCTACGGTTCACGTGATCCCTACATTTCACAAGTGTATTCCTTGTTGTCTACGGTTCGCGTGCTCTCTACATTTCACAAGTGTATTCTTTGTTGTCTACGGTTCGCGTGCTCCCTACATCTAACAAGTGTCTTGTTTGCTGTCTACAGGAAGCAGACATTGCTATCTCCGATATCAGCATGACAATACAGAGAGAACGAGTGATTGACTTCACTTACCCCTACTTTATTGACCCTACCAGCTTCCTAACACAAGCTCCTACAGAAAAACCCCGAGCGCTAGCCATCATTCGCCCCTTCACTTATGAGGTAAGTTAAAATGGGTCCAACCAGACCCACGAGGTAAGTTAAGAGCGTTGTATACTAATACTCTCATCCACAGTGTGATCCTTTCAGCCTAAACAAACACATAAAGAGAAAAGTACCTGAGGACACATTTAGTTCTAGAGTGATATTTATCAATATTCTCGTTCTTTGGATACGTTTGTCCAACTACAGAAACGTTAACGAGGAACATCAAAATTTGAAAAAAGTTGCACTCCAGATGAAGAAGGCACAGATATTTATAGGGGTTTTGTTAACCCAGATTCTTATACTAAGTTAAATTCAGTTATTATCAGAGTGAAGATTGTGTTGATTTGTTTCAAAATTACGTCTAGGTGTGGATCTCCATTGGAGTGGCACTTGTTGTGACTTCCCTTATAGTCTATTTGCTGACCATCCGGAAATCTGGAGAACAGGATGAGCGATGGTCTCTAACACAGGCAGCTTGGTATTTCTATGGAGCTCTAACACAACAAGGTAAGAAACTTTCTGTGTACTAACATCAAAGAGGTAAGAAACTTTCTGTGTACTAACATCAAAGAGGTAAGAAACTTTCTGTGTACTAACATCAAAGAGGTAAGAAACTTTCTGTGTACTTACACAACAAGGTAAAAAACTTTCTGTGTACTAACACAACAAGGTAAGAAACTCTCTGTGTACTAGCACAACGAGGTAAGAAACTCTCTGTGTACTAGCACAACGAGGTAAGAAACTCTCTGTGTACTAGCACAACGAGGTAAGAAACTCTCTGTGTACTAACACAACGAGGTAAGAAATAGTTATCGTCCAATTAATTTGGCAGCCGAGCATTCTGTCAAGTTTTTTATCAGTTAATATACGAACTACGTGTTCCCTTCTCAAAATATATCTGAAACACATTCTTACTTAGCACCATGACTCGCTGATAAACAGGTTGAAGCTTTCTCACTTAGCACCATGACTTGTCAATTGAAATTCTAAAGTAATTGAATAGGCCTAAGTGGACTTTTGACAAGAAATGTCATAGTGTTTATGTTATGCGTATAATATCTATAGTGTTGAAGAATTTGTTGTACATACGTTAACATGTTCTGAATATATATTGTTACGTCTCTGGTCGTTTGTTAATTTCCTGTAAAAATTCTTTCCGAAGAACTTCAGCGATACAAGTCCTTTCTTAAATAAAACTAGTTTATTATTTCTCAGTATAACTTTACAATACACTTAATTTCCGCAGTCACTTTAACTTAAACACACGCTATAATTCACAACGATTCACGCACTTTACTTACGGTCACTACCGCTCGCTTGTCACTTCTCTCTCTGCTTTATTTGCTGGGCTTATATATATACAAAAATAGAGGGCGTCTGGCAAACACTCGAGCCTTCACGATCCTTCTAGAAACTCATCACGTGTTACCAGCGTCACGTGACTTCCGCTGTCGTAACAATATATATTATTTAGAAAAACAAGAGAAGTGCATGCTGTTCATTTATCATTGAATTTATCGCTAACAAGTCAAGACACCAACTGTAGAATAATCTTAAGCCCAACAACAACATAGTATATATCTATATTATTAAGTATAAGTAAAAGCCATTTAATTGACAATTGGCGACCAAACCATAACCATAAAATCTGATAGTAGTTATGATGCGATTTTACCCTGTAATCCTTGGATCTGTGTGA